CTCTCTTTTTAATTTTCATTTCTATTCTTTTTTTATACTTTTTGTTAAGTGCTACATTTCAGCCATTCACATGCTTGAATCTGCATTAGGGTCAGGGTGGCAATAACTTATTTATTGCACTCCAGCAGATTTAGCGCGGGCTCTGCATTTTTAAGTGCAATTTTTAGGTAAATTACCTCTATCGCATGGATTTAGATAATATTCCTATCCATTACTTTCAATAGGTTTTTTGCTCAGTATTATTTACGAGCCCGGAAGGTTGGCTGGCCAAAAACATGTTCAGCCGCACATATAAATTATTTTATATATTAGCTGTCCCTAAGTCAGCAATGTTTATAATACTGCAGCATCCATTTTATATTAATTTTTAATATCAGTTTGCACATGTGTCCTTCATTACAGTGATTTTCCTACATATGTGTTTTCGAATAGATTGATGAATGTTTATCTCTTGTTGTTATAGAGAATTAGACTATATAGATATGTAATAATTCCAACAATTTAATCGGTAATAGCTCTTGAATTATTTAATGTCCAGTCCTTCAGGAACACTGTGTAATTATTTTCATTGGTTACCCGCCTACCGGGGACTTTTGAAACTATCTCCATCCACCTCCTAAAATCACGTGACGTCCCGCTGGCTGTAAATACCGAGATTTGTAAATCGCGCCTTCTTACTCTTCTGCCCTCTGCTCTTCTCTGCAATCATGTAGCTAACCGGCTGCCGCGCTTTTGTGTGTTGCCTTTGTCTGTGATGTGTCGTCCAGTCTTTGTTGTTTGTAAGATGCATATGTGTTTCCAGAAGTACAGTAAATTGGATTAACTTTCAAGAGTGCCTCATCCAGTTCCGCCAAAATATGATCAACCTTGCCGTAATGATCAATCAGTCACTACCAGCCACGCCCCCTACCTTTGAGGATTCGCCATGTTAAAATCGGCGCCTCGCCGACAGATTATGTCACACAATAGTTTATCGTTACATATATATATATATATATATATATATATATATATATATATAGGAAGAGTAATCACCTGCAAATGATTTTTCCAGTTTAAATACCGCTTCGGCAATTTCAGTAAGTCTGAAAATTCCTGTATGGCATTAAACGTTGCTGGTGCTGGCTGTGTCTAGATAAAACGTGTTGGAGTTTGCGAAAGTTATTGAAACAAGTTTTTCGAGCAATAAGCATATACTCATAAAATAGGCGGCAGTTATTATTTCAAAATTTTTAGGATCGTCTATATTCATCATAACTATCATTCTATTATTTGTGTGCATCAGAATGGGTTTTTGGTAATGTTATAATCTATATAACCACGCAATGGAGCATATTAATAAATTATTTTTATTAAATTTCTGCACTTCTCTCTCGTTGTTAAACTCCACTCTTAAAGATGTGTTTGAAAGCAATGTGTGCATATTTCTCACAATTTTTAAAGTAATGTTTCCTTGTTGGAACTTTACCACAATTAATTCCCAGTTCAGCGGCAAGTTATTGCGAAGGCAGCACATTGTTATAAATTAACATTTAGAAATTCATCTCTACATATACTTAAATATTGGAAGGCAAGCGTATTGTGTTTAACCGCGTGGTATTTAGAGTTGGTATTTAGATTTCATTCAATATTTTATGATGATTCAACTGTGAATTATTGATGTCCTTCAAATATGCAGAGTAGCGAAGCATGCAGTATAATTGAATGATATTTTAGATGTACAAATGGTTCTTATTGGTAATAATGAAAAAATGATCGTATGGTAGGTGCCTGTGTGTCTGCGTATTCACGGTTTGAGAATTACAAAGTATTTGTTTGAAAATAGGTTAAATGTTAAATAAGGATTGGCTTTGTAGTATATCGAGGGAAAAGATTGACGATTGAGGAAAGCACAATAAATTTTCATTTGAACTACATACAAACTGAGTGAATATTTTGGTTATATATATATATATACATATATATATTCTTACAAAAAACTATCTTGTATTTTAATTAGCTTATAAAGGTGCATTTACCTAAAATTGTGTGAATTTTGCCAAAAGTAGCCAAAAATTGCAAGAATGATTTTTTATTTTATAGGGCATCTTATTAGCTTTATAAAAATACCAAGTTTGTTATTTTCCGTTCATTAGAAATAAAACTGCAAGTGTTTTATTAAAAGCAGATGCCACATTACTTTAAGCAAGATGTCATACTTTAAAGTGCGTTTTACTCGAAAAGTGTTTTTTTAAAAATGCTCAAGCGATTGCTCAAAGTTTGGAAAATAATTAACTGAAATTTGCTGTGTATGTTCTTCATAATGATAGAAATGTTTTAACCATCAGATTTATCAATCACTGTTTTATTACAAAATTTACACTCCCTTATGTGAATATAATCCTTGTTTTTTAAGCAATTTTATATAATAACAAAGATAAAGTGCTCTATTTTTAGTAAAAATTAAAATATCTCTTATCCTGAAGGTCATTTCAAAAATGAATAACACAGCAACACATCTGATTTAAAAAAGAATAAACTTTTGGTACAGAATGGGCCCCGTTTATGTTATTTTTTGTAAATTTTTACCCATTTTAGTAGTAATAATTTCTTTTTCTTTTCTTAATGTTAGCATATTTTTTCTTAGGAAATGTACAAATCACTACAAAAAAATCCATACATCTCCATTTTTTTAAAAAAAAGTTGTCACAAGTAGTCGAATAACTTAACGTGCGCTATCGATAACTCAATCGCGCCCAAACCTTGATAAACTGTGCACAATCGAAATAATTCGAGCGGGTATATTTATGCTGCTGTAATTTTCACACTCGAATATAAGCGATCGCCGTCTGCGTTTGGAGAAAATTCTATCTAAATTTTAAAACTTTGTCTTAATTTCTTGTTGTTATGTATTATCTAATGATATTTTTTGAATAAATTTTTTTTCTTACACACAAGTGGGATAATTATTACTCAGTCTTATTTTTCTTGAATTATTAATATAATTTGAATTTGTACAAAAAACTCATTATTATTCTTTAGAGCTCATATATATAAATGGGTTCTAACAAAAGCATGTTTAATATTTATGAGCTAACATAATTAATCAAATAAAAAAAAATTTCTTATTAAAATATTTCAATGCTAAAATAATAAGTATTTTTGTATAAAAATCGTTTGGTTGAGCGTTAATAAGAATCAATCTCTCTTCCTTTCTCTCTCTCTCTCTCTCTCTGTCTCTCTGTCTTTCTCTCTCTCTTTCTTTTCTTTCTCTCTCTCTCTCTTTCTTTCTTTCTCTCTCTCTCTCTCTTTCTTTCCCTCTTTCTTTCTCTCTTTAACTCTCTCTTTATTTCTCTCTTTATTTCTCTTTCTCTCACTCTCTCTTTATTTCTCTTTCTTTCTCTCTCTCTCTTTCTCTCTTTCTTTCTCTTTCTATCCTTCTCTCTCTAACATTCTTTCGCTTTTCCTCCCTTTCTATCTCTTACTTTCTCTTTATTTCTCTCTCTCTTTTCTGTCTTTCTCTCTTTTTTTCTCTCTTTCTCTCTTTTTTTCCCTCTCTATCTCAACTTGTATCTCCATAACTAATATTACATTGCACTTTCTCTATCTTTGTTTTCTTCTCTTTCTCTCTATATATTAACTTGTATCTCCACAATTAATATTTTATTACATTCTCTCTGTATCTCTATCGCTCTTTATCTCTCTTTTCTATCTTATTACATTCTCTCTCTAACTCTATTTCATTTTATCTCTCTCTTCCTCTATCTCTATATTACTTTGTTTCTCCACGCGTATAATTTTATTACTTACAACGCTAATTTATAACAAGAATTGAATACTTGTTTTCAATACAACAAATTATATCTAATTATCAATGATTTTTTTTTTTTTCTCCTTAGAAAGACAGTACCAAGCGACACAATATTAATTAATGACATTTTTCTCCCGTGATAATCGATTTCTGAATTTTGAGTGAAACAAGTTATACACATCGATCCGATACAATTTTCACTGATAAAAATAGTTTCAATCAATAATACGTTAACCAGATTCATTAATATCTATTGAGAATGTCATAGCTACCTTTTAGTATCTTCCCTTTTATTTGACATTTATAGAACGCGGCCCTTCAAAAAATTCGCTATAAACGTCGAAATATCATATATATAAATGCTAATAATCCTAACCTTTACATTATATCGATGCTGAAGTCACTTTTATCTGTCAAGGTTCCGTGTGATCTGACAGGTTTCATTTTATTCACAGTTTCTATAGACAGCTGTATATTTTAGTCAAAAATAGATCACTTTATTTTCCTCTGGACCTGCCACTTTTCGAGAGGCAACTAAGACGTTTACTTGTCACCAAAGAGCAGAATTGAATGGTTTGACTGTAATTATCACACGTGATATTTTAGATTGGAATATTGTTACGGGTCTATCCGCGAAGCTTCTACTAATACTCTGGGGTAAAATTATTCTCTTTACAGTAAGTTCTGTTGAAAACTTTCCTCGGAGAACAAGACGAAATTTAGGTAAATGAGTACTTCTTTTTAAACGTTTTTTATTTATTTATTTATTTACTTCTAATGGCATATTATGAAGAGTTATTAACATAGTTTATCAATCTACCTAGTACATTCACCGAAAAAGCTGGTATCTCTTTTTAGTGCGGCGCCATGTTAGGTCTGTATCGCGCAGGTAATTTGACGCCAGTTTCCGCCCAGAGCACCAGAACATGACAATGCGGGCGAACCTGTATTGGAATTTAATTTGCCTACGTACCTAGGCATCTTTTTACATGCAAATAATCGCTACAACATGGCCGCTGTCGATTTTCTGCATCATGAAAATCCATCGACTTGGGCTGGGTTGAACCCGCAACCTTGGATAAAAAAGGCCAGTGACAAACCAACCACGCCACCCAGCCGACAATTTATCTTCCGACATCTGGAATCGAACCCGGACCTCCTGGCTGAGTGCCAGGTATCCTAACCACTAGACCATGCCGGATTAGAATGCCAACGGCACGCGGTTTTCTCAGGTGGTCAACCTCCCAAGTACTGAACGCGCCCGATGATTCTTAACTTGGGTGATCAAACGGGAATCGGTGTTTTCAGGATGGTATTGGCCATAGAGAACGTGAGGATGGTCAATGATTGATAGGTGACGATTAAAAGTTGATTAAATTGTGAACAAGACTACGACCGGAGGTCGTATAGTTAAGCAAGATATTTAAAGAGAATTCGAGCGAAGGATTCAAGAGCGCTCCAGGACTCATTTCAGTAGTTTTAATTATATGTCATTTGCATTAAGTCTATGCGATTGCTCTTCCAGGCTATTTATTAAGTGTATTCACTTTAATTGTGTTGGTTGATTATGTGAGGATAGTAATAAAACTGTGTTTATAACAGTTGCTAGGGCTGATCTTTGTTCGAACCTCCAAACACCACCAACCCACGGGTTGTTACAATATTTTAGTAAATATCAATTTGTTAATGTTTGCACAACGATTTAGTGTTTATTTTTATAAAATTCTGGTCATGATCCACCCTTTTCGCTTAGTATTCCATGATATTGTATGAATGTGTATATTTATATAAGTTATTATTATATATTTAAGTCAGTACTTCTCAAAGTTTCAATATTCGCGACCCAATATTCGTTATAATTTTCTCAGCGCCCCCCTCATACAATAACAATGTATTGAACTCAATGCATACTATACTTTGATGATAAAACTACGATACGACTTCATCTCTTAAATGCCACCGGCGTATATAAACGTCTCGCTGGCAACCAAAGCAGCGTTAATTTTCAACACGTATATATACCGTCTTTCCAGTAATATCTTTTCTGTGCACTGATATCCATAAAAATTATTCCGAAGGCTCTGGAATGCAATAAAAAGGACCTTGACAATTTTGCGAGGATTTACTTATTTCGAATATTTGCTTCTTTTAATCTTTCCTCCACCTTACAATCGCGTATCGCGTAACTTTTAATCGGCTCTATTAAGAATTTAATTCTAAACCGTACAAATTATCAATATAAGTGATATTTTTTCTATATAATTTTATATGTGAGAAATCCCATGAGGTCAGTGGTAGTTATTATACATGTTCTTAACTTAGTATTGTTAGAATTAAGTATAAATACCTGTGGCCTTGCTTACTGATACAATTATAAGTGTAATATATCAGTGTAAAACTGTGTTTTATTTTTTATTATGTCAAAACGTATGTTTGTTTACTTTCCAAAAATAATTTTTTTTAAATAATCCTTTGTTTTGACTTTCTCGCTAACTTTTCACGCCCTCTTGTAGAGGTTTTCACGACCGGGGGTACTTATTTTGGCTTAACTGATTTAGAGATGTATTAAGCTTTCGATTACATTTAAAAACTTTCTTTCAGCCTGCTTCTTGATTTTAAAAAAAGGTCAGAACTTGAATTTCTGAAACAGAAATATATATTTTTCTTTTAAGCCTTCGTAACACCACTCCTCTCACTTGGGAGTCGATTTTCGCAAAACACATTTTTTTAAGTGGATTTCTTCTTAACAAAAGAAACTGGTTTGCCAAATTTTACTCTCGAAATTAAAGTCAACATTCTGAATAAAATTGAAAACACTGATTTATCTTAAATTCCAGACTGCTTTAGTGGCCGTTGTAGCCTAATGGTCAAGTTCGCGAATTCGTTGTTGGCAGTCATGAATTCGCTTCTTAACCCGCTGTGTTGCTACACTTTAAATCTATCATGGCTCAAACTTCCTCTCTTTGATCTGGTGTGAAAGGTAAGAGAGGGGGTGCTAACGCAAGTGTCATTTTCGTCACTGTACCATGGTTCAACATATCGAGGTCCGTCGCCAATAGCCCTCGTGTATCTTTAGAGTACGTCGTTAGTATCATTCTCACTCACTCACCTTGAATGGTTTAGCGCTATGTGTATACTTGTGTTAAAAAGAAAATATTTTAGGTTAAAAATTCTTATTTAATAGTACTGAAAAGAAAATTTATTTACTCTGGAAATTATGCTGTCTTTTCATGTCACAGCACACATAAAAAGAATTAATAAATTAATTAATGAGAAGATCTAGATATTTAAATTAAATTTGATTTTGAAGATTTATTTGTATTAAATAAAATGCATACATTATAAAAGATTTAACCAATGAACACCAATTTGTCTTAGAAGAAAAACTATCCGATAATATTTTGCTAATTTAGGGATTTTAGAATAATTAAAAGTAATTAAGCGTTAGATATGCAAACAAAAGTTGAATGAGATTATAGTTCGAGGATTGGAAGTAGATTCAAGTAAATCTCTCAAATAAATTAGAATTTTAATAATTTGCTGAAAAATAAATGTAGGGAATTAATCCTCAAAGAATGGTCGCGTATTATTTTGAATTTATAGTAATTAGAAGAGAAAAAGCAAATTAATTGATTCAGATATTAAGTATAATAAAGCGAGTCAAGCTACAAAAGACGACATATTATTAACTGTAACTTTAATTAACATGCAGACGTGAATAGTGAGATGAATACATTATTTGCTAATTAAATATTATGAGAAGAATCGAAGTAAAAATAAATAATTCATAATAATAGAATAATAAAAATATAATAATCCCACACACACACACACAAATTGAAAAACAACACATTTTTCTCCTAAATGTTAAACCAAACGTAAAATTAATGTATTTATTCTTCGGTGAACCTCCAGAATGTCAGGATATCGCAGGATATTTTAAGACACGAAAAATAAATTAAGAATAATGTGAAAATAAAAAATGGATTAAACAATACGATAAGAATATATTTCATTGAATGCTCGCTGTGTGGTAATCCAGGTACAAAAATATGCTTAAGCACGAAATTCTTTTCGAAGATTTTGTTTCATTTGCGCATATATTTATTAGCTGCAGAGTTATAAAGTAATTAACGTGAATAAAAAAAAATGCTCATGACTCACTTATTTCTATGTATAATTTGTTAATTTTGTTTATATTAAACACAGAATAATGACTTGCAATATGAATATTTGAAAAATCGAGAACATAAAGTCATATCTAAGGTTCCATATTTTTGCATCACATGAAATTTTTATATATATTTTTTTTTTTATATAAATGAAGTTTTGAATGATGATTGACTATTACTGTATTTTAATAACTTATTGAAATCAACTGTGGGGAGATTCTAAAAATAAGATGCCTAATTGCATCAATGTGAAATGAATGTGTGTGTGTAAGTCTTAAATAATTAATATAGTTGAATTTCGAAAACTCGGCACACTTGATAACCCGGCAGTACAGGTAACTCGGCCACACTCTTGCAGGCCATTTATGTCCGATGTCGAGATTATTATTGTTGTCACAGTTATTAAAAAGGTGCCGGAAAATGATGAGGGTGTTAACGTTGAGTACGCCGTACAAACTCCTAAAATATCACTTAGTGAAGGTCTAAGGCTGTCGAAACCAGCGTTAAGGTGAACAACAAGGTGAATCTATAATGGACTTATGGTTCCTTCGTCGTTTTCGTGTTGAAACAGCAGAGAGCATTATGGAAGATAACAGGACATTACACATTTCTTTTTAAAAAAATATCTCATTTCTATGCCTTTATAAAGACTTTTGCTAAAGTGTGTCTGATCAGGTAAATTATTGTATACTATGTATTCACATTAATTTTCATTTTCGTGTAGTAAATGTTCTATGCCTTCATAAAGTACGTACTTGGCAATTTATTTCTGTTGTATAATCTCAAAGAAACAATACATACAAAGTGTGGTACATTATTTTCTGCGAAAACACTCAAACTTATTATTTTTTTTAATCCCGTTCTCGATGACCCAACATTTTTACAAACTCGGTCATCCTTCGGTTCAAATCAGGCCGAGTTTTCACGATTCTATGTAGAATGTAAACTCAGTAAAAAAATGTACAGATAACCACCGTATAACATTGGATTTATTGTGGCAACTCATGCCGCAGATTCTTGGTAATCCCTAAAAAAAATTAAGCATCTTCTTTATACGATAGAAAAATTCGAACATTTAAAGTAGAAGAAGTCAATTATGTCGTTTGGAAGTGTGGCAACGATAATTTTTTCCCGATTTATTTTTATTCAATCGATTACTGTACGAAACATTATCGTCTGATTTTATATTGTTGCTCTGTATGTTACGTGGATTTGTTGATTAAAAAAATGATGGAAGGAAGTTTTGCCTTTTTTCGATTTGGTATTGAACAACATAGATCTTTCAGAATAAGGAACAAAAGTCGGAGCCCGATTTAACGAATACATCGGGACCGACACATTTTTTTCGTTATTTTGGGGTTATTCGTTATATCGGGATCCAAACAGAACATAATTTTTTGCACTTACCTTTTCGAAATTCCATAATAAGCAATTGCAACAAAAATATCCATGGTTGGAAATTACACAGTTTTAAAAACAGCTAAAAATACTTATTGGTGAAATTTTAATTTGAAATTTTAAAATACTGGCTAATAGATGCTTGAAAATCTTTTTGATTCCTCACTCAAAAGAGTACTTTTTCGACTTCGTGAAGAGAATGCGTCATTTACAACCTACTGTATAAGGTATGTTTTCACAGCTTCTAACCAATGTAAAACACGAGGAAATGTAATAGTTCCGATAGGAGTTTCATTATCTTTTCTGCATCGGAATCTCTATTTACTCTGGCTCCGATAAATTAACAATCTTTAAGTTCAATTGCACAGATAGGTAGTGTGTCATCAAATGTAACATTAAATCTTAAATTATCCCTTGACGTGAAGAGTGGGAGGAGATAAGAAAGAAATTTTCTGTCATATTCAAAACTCACGTGATAAGTTACATTCATGACTCATCTGCACCTGTAAAGTCTAATAATGGGCTGCATCTTTCCCCGTCGAAATTTGCTGCGAACAGGGAAAGTGCTTCTGTTCCGAACAAAAAGGATGCCATTTCAAAAAGAAAAATCAAATTTTTCCTAATATAAATATAATAGAAACAACTTTTCGGCTTTTGAAATAACGTGCTGGTTCGGGGTTTATTATTTGTTAAATAAGGGCTTTTTCCTTTTATTTTAACTAGCGTAAGATAAAATTCGTTAAGTAACGA